TGTGACACGTGAGTCTTTTCACGGACAAAGCTGACATGTACATGGAGAAGTATTTTCCAAGTACACCAATATCAACAGAAACAGAAACGAGAGAAAAGGCTCACCCTCACACCATTGAGAATTATGTGAGCATAAGACTTTCGATAAAGTATAAAAACGCGAACGCTGACTGACCGAACGTGAGATCCCACACAAGAGACAATGGGCCCTCGGAGCAAGTCATCAACTGCGAGATGTCCATGAACTGGACTCTAAGTGAGATAGGGCGGAACATTTAGCCTGGGAATATGACCCAGGATATCTTTCTCATGCAGTCACGGTGAACTACGGCAGCTTTCCTCCTTTCCATCAGGCTCACATGAATAGGTACGATGGTATCTGCTCAGTCACGTGAGTAAAGGGTCTCAATAGGTATAAAGAAACGGGTGACTGCTACGTGGCGGAACAGGACACGCCTGGAATCTGTCGCTGGTGTGCCTCAAGTGGGTAGAGCGGTTAGGTTACAATGAGATAATGACAGGGTGACCTATCATACTTATATTTAGGGAATTGTTAATGATAATTCTTTTGCTCTCCAGGTATTGTTCCCGAAATTCTTCTCTATCTAGCTCGTCCGAGTGGATGCGGCGTATCCGTTCTCGAATGTGTTAGCACGAGAGTCGACTATAGGTAGGGCTTACTCAACTTTTAGGTATAAGGTATCCGTTCACGAATACGCTCAAAGGCGGAGCTGACGATCTATAAGAGATGGCTGTATAACGAAGTTAAGGCTTGCGTAAGGATTAGTTATAAGGCCATCATCATCACTCTTATCGTCATTGTCACCGGAGACGGACAGCCGCGTTCGCTTACAACGAGCCAGTCCCGCTCTGCCAGATTGGGGACGATCGGGCGCAGAGGCACACTAATCCAGGCGTCGAGCTTCCCCTGTTTTATACCTCACTGTAATTGACTACCATCCTCCAGCATCCGTAGTTGTATCTATAATTCAATGAACTCAACCTGCTTAGCTTCTCTGCTCACAAAGCCCTCCCGCCCGCAAGGCAGACATTGAAACTTGATCTCGTATGGTGCAATGCTCTATCGATAATGATAATATGACATTGCGGGCACTGCGGTATCTAGCGATCCTTGATCCTGCCATGGTCTTGGGATGCCCGGTGTACGCAGGAGGACGAGCTCAATTAGTCCAGCACCTTACATAGCTGACGTCTTTCTATAACTTTACTCACTTCGCTCCCAATGCCCATCTCCCTTTACAATAAGCCTGCTGGTGGTTTGCTCTTTCTTGGAGACATCGGAGGAATCCGGCACCAACATTCAACTTCTTTAGAGTGCTGGTCTATCTCAACTCCAAGAGCTTCTCATCAAGTTAGACCTAGGAACCTACTTTGACAAAAGTAGACAACAAGAATCACGAATTCAGACTCCAGGTATCTAACAATTATTTTGATGACGTTGGATATTGAAGGCGCACTGATTCTCCAAGACAGTCAATAAACATCACAAAAGGCCATACTGAGCACTAGCAAAAGACAGCCTCTTTACCATGGAGATGTAAGCCGAACCTCTATACTCTCCCGGCAATAAATATAAGACTGGAATTGTCAACTAAGTGGGATGGACTACTAGAGCCATCGATAGCTTCGAAACCCTCCACGTTTAGTAATACGCGCGTCGTGCATCTTCGTTGGCGAGGACGTATCATTATCAAAATCTAGATATTCAAGACGTTTTCACCTCCAAGTAGCATTGCTCATCATCTTACGCATATTCCGACCGGAATACACTCCATAGACTAGACGATGTTAAAGAGAACTATCTATAGATGAAAGAAGATGTGAAATCCCTACTTGACCCCCAAAGCAGCCGCAGGCGCGATGGGCTCCCAGGAGCAGATTGACAAGGAACTGGCCACCTCGGTTCGACGGAAAAGAATGGCTGAGAGAGCGCTGCTGAGCCGAGAGGGTGAAGCGGCCCCGACTTTTTGTATCAGAAAACTGGAAGACCAAACAAGAGATCTCTGTTTAGGTAGCTCCTCATACCAATAGTAATATGCCTCCCTCTCTCATCGAGCCAATAGTCTCCAAGACGACGTAGGGTACGGCTCAGCTCAGCTCAGCTCAGCTCAAGCTGTCTATTTCATGCCACGGCTGCTCCAACCGAAGAAGCGCGTTGCAGCTTGGTAATTCTATCGAGTGAGAAAAGTGAACTCTGTAGCGAGCAGGAAATGGACAACACATTGTGAGCAACACACCGGCGCCTGGACAGCAAAAGACTTCATATCGTTAGTGACTTTCCCCCGACATGCCGGCTCGAGGGTTCACTGCTCCAAGTCGAGGCGGTGGCATCCGTGTGATTACTTTAGAAGATGTTGGCCAAGTGACGGCATAGTGCTGTTGCGTCGATTAGAACCTTGGGGCAAGGGATATTGCCAATTATATGATGAGACGTCCACGTCTAGGATTGAGGGTGGAACTCTTGCTATTGGTCATAAACCGAATCGGAGAATCACGAGCATGTCACTAGTCGGGAAGCATGGCGAGTCACGTGCATTGGGGGGAAAACGGCTGAAGAAATAAGGAGATTCTCTCAACTACAAGAGGAATTAAGTAGATTTCTTGGTACACAGCTCACAAAAGAGACTTGGATTGAGCTAAGAAACCTCCCCGTTCCATCGTTCCTCTTCTATACACAGGCTCAACGCCCCAACTCTCGACGTCATTTGGTATTTTCGTCGCGAATCGTTTAGTTCTTCTCCAACTCCGCCAGAATCTTCTCACCCTTCTCCTTGGCCGAGGCGAAGTCACCGACCATGTAGAAGGCACCCTCGGGAAGGTTGTCACCCTCACCGGAGAGAATGGCCTTGAAGGAGGAAATGGTCTCCTTCAGGTCGACCAGCTTACCCTCGATACCAGTGAAAACCTGGGCGACGGTGAAGGGCTGGGACAGGAAACGCTGGATCTTACGGGCACGCTCGACGGTAAGCTTGTCAGCCTCAGAAAGTTCGTCCATACCAAGAATGGCAATGATATCCTGGAGAGACTTGTACTCCTGGAGAATCTGCTGGACGCGGGTGGCGGTGTCGTAGTGGTCCTGGCCGACAATACGGGGGTCCAGCATACGAGACTTGGAGTCAAGAGGGTCGACAGCGGGATAGATACCCAACTCGGAGATACCACGGGACAAGACAGTGGTGGCGTCCAAGTGAGCGAAGGTGGTGGCGGGGGCGGGATCAGTCAAATCGTCAGCAGGGACGTAGACGGCCTGGACGGAAGTAATGGAACCCTTCTTGGTGGTGGTAATACGCTCCTGCATACCACCCATGTCGATGGCGAGGGTGGGCTGGTAACCGACGGCAGAGGGGATACGACCCAGAAGGGCAGACACCTCGGAACCGGCCTGGGTGAAACGGAAAATGTTGTCAATGAAGAGCAACACTGGGGATTTGTTAGCATTGCGATTCATTATCAAGAGCGAATTCTCAACTCACCATCCTGTCCCTCCTCGTCACGGAAGTACTCGGCAATGGTAAGACCAGTCAGGGCGACACGGGCACGGGCACCTGGGGGCTCGTTCATCTGACCGAACACCAAGGCGACCTTGGACTCGCCATCAAGCTGAATGACGGAAGTCTCCTGCATCTCGTGGTACAGATCGTTACCCTCACGGGTACGCTCACCGACACCAGTGAAGACGGAGTAACCACCGTGGGCCTTGGCGATGTTGTTGATCAACTCCTGAATGAAGACGGTCTTGCCGACACCGGCACCGCCGAAGAGACCAATCTTTCCACCACGAGCGTAGGGAGCGAGAAGATCGACGACCTTGATACCAGTGACGAGAACCTCGGCGGTGGTGGACTGGTCGATGAACTCAGGGGGCTCGGTGTGAATGGGAAGGCGCTTCTCGGTCTTGATGGGGCCACGCTCGTCAATGGGGTCACCAGTGACGTTAATGATACGGCCAAGAGTCGCGGGACCGACGGGAATGGTGATAGGGGCACCAGTGTCGGTGGCAGGGCGGCCACGGACAAGACCTTCGGTACCTAGGGGGATTGTGAGTACGAGCGCGAAAAACTTTTTCAGGGGAGGAAATACGAACCGTCCATGGCAATGCAGCGGACGACATTCTCACCCAAGTGTTGCTGTGCAGACGTGTCAGATGAAACTCGACTTTTGCTAATTTGCAGTGGATGTTTTTCCAACCGCCAAAGGTACGTACCGCGACCTCAAGAACCAGCTTCTGGTCGTTGTTTGTCGTCTCGAGGGCGTTCAGAATGGGGGGGAGCTTGGCGGTGTCGAACTTGACTGTATCCACGCGTTAGTATTTGATGATTTCGTGATGGTCGAACCCCTTTGAAGGGTTTTCTTCGGATAGTACGAACCGTCGACGACGGCACCAATGACCTGTTGGTTTGTTGTTGTCAGTAACCGACATCGCCCTCGGGTCAACGGAAGGGATGAACGAGGCCATCACTCACCTGGTAGATCTTTCCATCACCGACACCGGCAGTGCTGGCGAATCTGCTGGAGGCAGGGAATCTGAAGGTAGAAGGTCTGATGGCGCGAGGAGCGGTCGCCGCAAAGGAAGGGCGAGCCGCCCGGGCGAAGGAGGAAATGCCGCTGCGAGGGACCGGTTAGCTCAATTGGGGCCAATTGAACGCGATATGGTTCAAAAAGTCGATCAGGTAGTTGGTACCAACCTCTTGAACATCTTCACAGATGATTAAGGGCGACTTCGGATGGGAGTGGAGAGGTGATGGTTGAAAGTTGGAGGAGGACTTAGGAGGAAGTGAGCAGTTTTGCTCGGGATGTACGCTTCGTCGGTTAGAGCTTTGCTCGGGGGCGTCACGTGACCGGAATCTGAGTAGGAAAAATTACCTCGCTGCGCTAGTCTCGATTTGGATGAGCTCCTCTCTCCGGGATACACCGGGTCCACGCTCGGGTTCAATTGGAGCACCGCAGCCTGGCACGCCTTGGGAGCTTCGCCCTCAGGAAATGACGGGAAACTTTTTTTTCTTTTGGCCTGGCTCCAAGCTGCCAGACTCGCCCATTCAACCTGGAATTGAAGGATCCCACTCGGCGTGGGGACTGCGGGTGAATCTTGCAAATGTTGGGGCCTTGTTGCCTTTCCCAGGCTCTCCAGGCACTGAAGAAGAGAAAGGACTCCGGTGCGGGCTCCCAATGTCTACGTGTCCCCGATCCCCCGGGTGACGAGAGCCGTCGCCCCCAGGTGCCAGCTTGCATGCACGCTTCAGTCCCTGACTCCCTTCCTCCCCTCCGAACATCGCCATATCCGTCCGAGCCGAGGTGTCTCCGCCGACAACTTGACGTTCGCATTGAATCACTAACAATAGCTGATAGCTCCACTCGCCATATGTTCCTACCTAAATTCATCATGGCTTTCGTATTCCCACGAGTATTAGGTGCAGCAATAATGTTTTTCAGAAACAACCAAGTACTTCACGACTGACGAGGAGCAACGTTCATGCATGAGTATTTACATTTCCGTGCATCATGAATCCAGCTCAAGCACCTTGCCAACTCCAAGACTCCGTAACAAGGGAAATTTATATAACATAAGATCATTGTCTGCGACAGCCTCATGCACCACTCTGGCCAGCCTCGCGATACTGCTCAAAGGTGACATCCTCTGGCCGCGATCCAGGTTCAGCGTCCTCGTCAGCCATACGCCGCTCCAGTTCCAAACGCCCGTCCTTGCCCCAGTATCCGGCTTTCTCAGTGCCCTTGACGCAACCTTCGGTGATCAAGACGTATGACATCGGCGCATCGAAAATCGGCTCTGCCAAAACTCTCTCCATCTCCATCTTGAGGCCTCGAGCCCCGGTCTCGGCCTTCGCAGCCCGTTCCGCAATTGCATATAAGGCTTTCTGCGTGAAGCGTAGCTTGGAAGGGTATGTTTCGAACAGAGCAGTGTATTGCGCAACCAGGGAGTTACGCGGCTCCGTCAGAATTCTGTAAAGATCATTCAAGGATAAAGGACTAAGTGCACAGATGTTGTGCACTCTACCAATTAGTTCAGGGATGAATCCAAACGCCTGCAGGTCTACTGGCGTCGTGAGGTCCAAGGGAGTGTATGCTGAGGCTGGTGCCTCGGGGTCAACATGTGGCAGATGCGAGAATGATTGGCGCGGTAAGTCGTGCTGATTGCCGGCGAGGCCATGTTTTCCTTTCAGTTCTGAGCCGAAGCCCATGGATGGCTTCGATACTCTCCGGACAATAACTTTGTCAAGACCAACGAAAGCACCACAAAAGACGAACAGAATATTTGTTGTGTCGATTGTGTACTGATCGACCTTGCCCTGAGGTGGAGTCGATTGAGGGGCTGACGTTGAACTCGACGAAGTATAATTTGTTGTAATAGGAGGTGTTGATCGTGACGAGCGGTTGTCCTTGACGTTGATTGTTACTTTGGAGCCTTCGACGAGCTTGAGTAAAGCTTGCTGAACGCCTTCTCCGCCAACGTCGCGGCCATTCATGCTCTCCCTTTTCGCCAGCTTATCAAATTCGTCCAGTACGATAATTCCCTGCTCTGTAGCCTTGATGTCGTAGTTCGATTCGATCAGTAGTCTCTCTACGCATGTCTCGACATCCTGTCCGATATAGCCGGCCTGGGTGAATCCATTGCAATCGGATATCGTGAACGGTACGTTGAGCTTCTTGCTTAAAGTTCTGTGGCATATTAGACTCCCGGCAGACATTAAGGGTATCCATGGCAAGCCTACTCTAGTATATATGTCTTTCCGACACCGGTGGGACCGATGAGCAGTAAGTTGCTCTTGTCAATCTTAACTGGAGGAGGGGTTGCAGGTTCCTCGGCAAGATAGGAACCGTCGAAACCGGTGGACGACTCATAGCCTTCATCCAAATGTTGGGTAGATTCAGCATGGCCAGGGAACTCATCTTGGGGCCACTCGTCATCAGCAGGAAAGCGCTGGAAGGCAGACTGACGACCTCGCTGACCTTGAACAGGATGAATGTCACGCCTCTCGAGAATGTCTCTATCTCGGGCATAGCGTTGCCTCTCGGCCTTTTCTCTCTGTAGCTTCTCCTCGTGTTCCTGGTGCCTTCTCCGCCGCACTCCTTGATAGTGGTTGAAGATGGTGGAGCAGATGGTCTTCTTCGCTCGATGTTGGCCGACAACATAGTCGTCTACACGCTTCTTCAGGTCTCGGGGATAGAACTGCGGAACTCCGAAGTTATTCTTGTTGAACATGGGCCCGCGGCCAGTGTCACTAGTCGGATCATAACTGCTTGTGAAACCCGAGTTGAAGTCTTGTGAACGTCTCGGGGCGGTTCGAGCAGCGGAGGAGGCGGAGAAGGTGCGCTTAGCACTCGAGAGGAGAAGGCATCGTGCGCATGTATAGGCCTGCGGCCTCGTGGATAGAGCCATTGTTTCGGGTGCCCGATCAAGGGACCATAGTCAGATAGCCGCCGTAATTATTCGTGAAGCTCGTCGCTATCGATCGTGGCCTTCGTGTTTGGGGGACGTCGGTAATGATGACGGGGAGTCCGGTGACCGGAGGGGATGTCGTGAGAGTGTGGCTGGCTCGATAGATAGGCCGGATAAGGGACCTTGCCCAGAGCTGTCGGCGGTCGTGTGGCCCGGATGCGGGGTTGGGGAGCTGGAGCTCCAGCACAGCAGCGCTTAGGAGCGGCTAACACTGGGGAAAGCTCCCAGCTATCAGCTTGCACTTCGAGAATGGTTTCTAGATTGCTCACCTTCCTAAAGTCAATTCCCATGGCACCAGAGCTTGCGTTAGCTTGGTATACCCCGGCCGCGATCACTGGCATATCTTGGATTGTGCCCTATTTGGGAGTGGTAATCGAACCAGATAGGACCGATCAAGCTTTTGGTGCGAAGGGACTGTGGCCCATGTCCATGCCTGAGCCTGGGCTGCCCATTGAACATCTAGCAAAATACTGAGAACAACGGGCCATGATAGATTACTATGGCTGCCCATTGGATCTACAAGACCAGGCTGCACATTGTGAGGGGATGATTCTTGTATTGTATTGGGGAGTGAAGGGCGTTTTGTTAGTTCTGGAAACAGCCGTCTCTAACGGTTTCCCAATGCGGACCGTGAATTTTTAACGTCGGTTTACTCTGTTAGAAAGCTCTGTTTGGTCCGTATAAGTTGTCATACCTGTCTATCATTATGCAGAAATATGAAGAGAAGTGTGTTGGACGACTGGTGCATCTGGTGTGAATCACCCGGAACTACTTTGTTGCGCCTCTAGCCCACCCCCAGAGTTCATGTTAGCAGAAAAGCTCCACCACTGTGCGTCTGGCATGCAATTCTCAGAGGGCCCACGACGTATCGGTGATGGCATTTGGCGACGATAACGACATATCGGTCCCACCAACGCTGATATTGATAACTCGTACTCGTCTCCCCTGTTCCCCTTTCCTCTTCTTACTGGTTGATGGAGGGCATTACCTATCGACGTTACCCTCTTTTCCTCACCTCGAAGGAGCAAGGTGCAAACCCGGCAACCAAATAACGCCTCCATCAGTCCATCGAGTGAGAAGACGGGGTTGCCGAGCAAATTCAAGTACCAACGCGGAGTTTCAGCCGCTAAAAGAAGTGCCTCAACCTTCAGCGTCGCCTTTTCGCCTTGGACTTAGGCTGGATCAACTGGATGAGCGCTGTGGGTGTGCTGGGGGCCAACCACCAGTTCCACCACCCTTCCGGAGGTGGCGATGAGTCCAATCGGCTGCGCGGCGCCTTGGTCGTCCATCAACCCCGTTTTGATTCGGCCAGTGGATTTTTTGTTGTTGAGAATTGAGATGCACCAAACAGGCATCCCCAGGGAGGGGTTCTCGAGTGGCGGCAGCATATTTTTTCTCGTTCCTACCTTGCCTTAGCGTCCTGCCACTTCCGATGGAGCAGCAATTCTCGTTGAATTGGTCGCACCAGCCAGGCCAACCATCAGTGAGGTGATGAGAGGAAGGCCTGGACCTTTGCCCCGTAGGTACCACTGGTGGTGCTTCATCCTATCGAGATGTATGGGGTAATACTTTTGGTTACCTTAGCATAGTGTAATTACTGACCGGGCTGCTTTTGCGAGATGCGAGCTCCCAGCTGCGTTGCCCCACGACGTCATATCATGCACAGCGCCAATTGATATACCTTGAGCTCTCCCTTCCCATCCTTAGGTCTGTGGTTTGGAAGGTTAAACCCATCCCAAGCTTATCCCGGCACTGCGGGGGAATTAACAGGCAATCCAAACAGACTGTTACTGGCATTTGTCCAAGAAAGCAATCATCTGTTTTGATTTCTCTCCCTTGCATCTTCCTTCTCGACACCGTTGGCCGACCTCTTCTCTACACCTAATCCAACGTCCAACGCTTGATCGAGAACCCCAGACTCGCTCAATTCCTGCAGAGATTGCTCCCAATCTGCGCATTCCTTGCCTAGCTCCAGACCCCTACCGACCTACGTTAGGAAAGGCGTGAAATCTCCATCGAGCTCAGGTACTTGCTTGGCTCTGCCGTCACATAGCTGTCCTACCTTACCTTGCCTCACCTCACCTTACCTCAACATTTTGTGCGGGGAGCTTTCCATTGCTTCCAATCCCACCCCTCGCTGCCTCTTCCCTTCTCACCTTACCCTGCTTCACACTGCCGACCATCTCTGAACGACACCTGACGTGCTTTATCTGCCCTACTTTAGATCGAGTTCAGCTCAAACCACCGCGGTTCTGCCCCGCACCATCAACTTCGTCTTACCACCGCAAGCTCTATCGTCATCAACCAACATGGCCGCTGTTGCTCAGAACTCTGCCAATACCATCGCTCTAGACGGACCGAGCGGTGCTGCCGATGGCTTCCCAACCGACGGCACTGGTAAGCTTCCTGATCATATCTCCTTGTAGGGCCAGTGTCTAAAATATGTTAGGCGTTGTCAAGCTTGACCCCTGGCTGTCGCCTTTTCAGGAATCCTTGAAGAGGCGCTACTCTCGCGCTCAGGACTGGATCAAGAAAATCAATGACACTGAAGGTGGGCTTGAGAAGTTCTCCAAGGTAAGTCAAGTGAGCTCGTATTTTCTTCCAAGAGCTAAGTTGGGTGAATAGGGCACCTCACTCTTTGGATTCAATGTCGACCAGGACAACAACATCATTTATCGAGAATGGGCACCCAACGCCACTCAGGCTTTCCTGACTGGTGACTTCAGTGAGTTGAATCGTATCTAGTATACCTGCACACGCTGATTGGGTGGCAACAGATAATTGGGACCGGAACTCTCATGAGATGAAGAAGAATGACTTCGGAGTTTTCGAAATTACTCTTCCCGCAAACAATGGCCAGGCTGCAATCCCTCACAACTCCAAAGTCAAGGTACGCTCATTTCACAGTATTTCTGACGCGTGGTTGGGCTCACATCATTATAGATCTCCCTGCAACTTCCCAGCGGCGAGCGCGTCGACCGGCTCCCTGCGTGGATCAAGTACGTGACGCAAGATCTGTCCGTATCCCCAGCCTACGATGCTCGTTTCTGGAATCCTCCTGCGGGAGAAAAGTACGAGTTCAAGTACCCGAGGCCACAAAAGCCTCGCAGCGCACGCGTATACGAGGCCCATGTGGGAATCTCATCACCCGAGTTGCGCGTTGCAACTTACAAGGAGTTCACCCAAAACATGCTGCCCAGAATCCGAGATCTCGGATACAACGTTATTCAGCTCATGGCAGTTATGGAGCATGCCTACTATGCCAGCTTTGGGTACCAGATCAACAACTTCTTCGCCGCTAGCAGTCGTTACGGACCACCGGAAGACCTCAAGGAATTGGTCGACGTGGCTCACAGCATGGGAATCACTGTGCTTCTCGATGTTGTTCACAGCCATGCCTCCAAGAACGTTCTGGATGGACTCAACGAATTCGACGGCACAGACCACCAATACTTCCACGAGGGAGGACGTGGCCGCCATGAGCTGTGGGACAGCAGGCTGTTCAACTACGGTCATCACGAAGTGATGAGATTCTTGCTCAGCAACCTGCGGTTCTGGATGGACGAGTACCACTTTGATGGTTTCCGTTTCGACGGTGTGACGAGCATGCTCTACCAGCACCACGGTATCGGAACGTAAGTGCTCAACATGTGTGAGACCATTCCTTGACTATTTCTTGCTAACAACTACTAACTATAGTGGATTCTCTGGTGGCTACCACGAGTACTTTGGGCCGGACGCTGATGAGGAGGCGATTGCTTACCTCATGATTGCGAACGAACTGCTGCACTCATTGTACCCGGAAGTTATTACCATCGCTGAGGATGTTTCGGGTATGCCGGCTCTTTGCCTGCCGCTCTCCCTCGGTGGTGTTGGCTTCGATTATCGACTCGCCATGGCTGTCCCGGATATGTGGATCAAGATCCTCAAGGAGACAAAGGACGAAAACTGGGACATTGGCAACATCTGCTTCACTCTCACAAATCGGAGACATGGCGAGAAGACCATTGCCTATGCTGAAAGTCACGACCAAGCGTACGTTTACCCTTTGTACGAAACTCACGACACTCGAAGCTAACAAAGTACAGGCTTGTGGGTGACAAGACCCTCATGTTCCATCTTTGCGATGCCGAGATGTACACGAACATGTCAACTTTGACTCCCTTGACGCCGGTCATTGACCGCGGCATGGCCCTCCACAAAATGATTCGTCTGTTGACCCATGGTCTCGGCGGCGAAGGCTACCTGAACTTTGAGGGCAATGAATTTGGCCATCCTGAATGGCTTGACTTCCCGCGCGAGGGCAACCAGAATTCGTTCTGGTATGCTAGACGCCAGCTGAACCTCACTGATGATCATTTGCTTCGATACCAATTTTTGAACAACTTTGATCGCGCAATGAACACCACCGAGGGCAAGTACGGCTGGTTAGCCGCGCCTCAGGCGTACATCTCTCTCAAGAATGAGAATGACAAGGTCATTGTTTTCGAGAGGGCTGGCGTAGTCTTCATTTTCAACTTCCATCCCACTGAGAGCTTCGCGGATTACAGAATCGGCATTGATGTGCCCGGCTCTTACAAGGTCATCCTCAACACTGACTCCAAAGACTTTGGAGGTCACGCGCGGGTGGATGAGGGAACCCGATTCTTCACCACTGCCATGGAGTGGAACAACCGCAAGAACTGGACTCACGTCTACATTCCCAGCAGATCTGCCTTGGTAAGGTTTCCGTATACAATAACAGGAAATATGAGACTAACAGTGTATAGGTGCTTGGCTTGGAGTCACCCATCTCCCAGCACTCCTAAACAGTGCTGTTACTGTGAAGAGGCAGAGGGCCATGGATAGTGGAAGACAACTAGAGAAGGGGAAAGAGAAGGAGACTTACTTACCAAGCTAATCGCAATTGTCATGAGTTATGCAAAAGCACCGTGTTTCTAGAAACCAAACCCAATAGATTTACCACCTGTTCTTTTAAGCTCCTCGTCATGGCTACCTTACATTGGACCACAAGTGAAGAGGCACCCATTGGCAGCCTGTGAACTGTGATATCTTTCCGTACAAGGGAGGATATTAAGTCACAAGACCAACAGTTGAAGGTTTGTGAGATAAACGTGAATCACCACATGTCTAGACACGACATCAAGGGGGAGCTTTGTTTGAAGAAACAAATGGAAATTTGCTTGGAATTCAGCTCTTTTAGTACAGTATTTACACCAAGCAGATTGGGTTGTCCTCGAGTCACGTCGCAAAGCCCCCTCAGCCCATGCCAGCCAGCCTTCTACTAGTAGTCATTTAATACATGGGCAAAACTGCCATGGTGTGTGTCGAATTTGTGATTCGTGATTCTAAGAGACGAGATAGGGAAGGGTAACGGGATATCGGAGGGGATTTTAAGCCTTGGGAGGAGACTGGACCATGCCCTTGCCGGAGTAGCCCTCGGAGGAGAGACCAGTGAGGGGGTCGGAATTTTGTTTCTGTACGCGAGTGAAAGAGTTGGTTAGCCATCTGATGTATTTTTGTTTTCGACGTCGACGCCGACGTTTCCTCCATTCGAAGGACGGCAGTGAAAGATTGCCAGTGTTGTATGCTGCATACCTTGAGGAACTCGTTGGAAGCCTCCTGGTACTCCTTGGTCATGGTGTCGGGAGCAGGGCCGGCGAACATGCGGACGGTGGAGAAGATGGCCAAGCTGGCGGCGACGGCGGCCATGACGCCCCAGAAGACGCGGCCGGTCTCGCCGGCGGGGGTACCGGAGCGGGGACCGTGAGGGCCAAAGGCAATCCAGTAGGCTGTTGAGACAATTTGCGTTAGTTTTTTTGTGAGGTTTCTCGATGTGACGCAATGCATATGCACAGGGATGGGGGGGATGGATATGAGGTTCGGGCATCAGAAAAAGCCAATTGAGAGAGAGCATCGGATGGCATATATAAGATGCCTCCTTCCTCTCGAGCAATTGATGTTGACGAGCTTCCCTCAATGGCTTTATCTCCCTCCCCCCTTTCTCAATCCCCTTTCGGCCGACATCGAACCACGTTTCCTCTCTCTATCTCGACGGAATGTAATGGAAAATAGTCACGCACCGGCCTTCTTCTCCTGAAGGGTGAGCTCAGCCCAGGGGCCCTTCATGCGGTCTCTCAGGGCCATCCAGAGCTCGGCCTGCTCCTGGAGGGGCATGCCCTCCCATCTCTTCTCGATGTTGGCGAGCGTAGGGTTGGAGATGGCGTGGGTGGAAGCGGCGCGGCGGATGACGGCGGAGTGGGCGCGCAGGCCGGTACGGGCCAGGGAAACAGTCGGGCGCAACATTTTTGTGTCGGGGTTTATGTGTCGTCGGAAAAATCGCTAAAGGGAGAACGGTCGAGTTCGGAGGAGGAGCTCAATTGGAGCGATTGAGGTTCGTGGACGTCGCGGGTGGGGGGATTTCTTGCGAGATTCGTGATGGGCGTCAAGGAGGAAGAAGAGGGTTTTTTTGGTCTACCTAGAAGTTCCGGGCAATCGTATGATTGGAATTTCGATTGCAATACGCCGGCTGCGACTGGGTGACTGGGAGATCACGTGATACAATTGTGGCCTGTGCGAGAGCCATCCTACCAATGGAATTGAGTGCTGGGCGCAGGGGGCGGGCCACGGGGGGTGTTGCCGGTTCCTTCACCTCGGTGTCTGGGCTGACGGGGAGCTTTACGGGTAGCTCTTCAGTGCACCAACGTGCTGTTTGCTGCTTTCACTAACAGGCTTGCAGCCCAGTGTTGCAGCAGCGCAGCTCCCATTGCAGGGCTCGGTTGTCGGCTCATTCCGAATACCGCCGTTTGACCGGGATCTCAATTGCTTCGTCTTGTGGTCGTTGATTGAAGGTGTAAATGTGCTCCGGGGACTGCTCAGTCACTTGAGCATCACTTGTGAGCCTCTTGGGTCCGTATTTCACTGGTTTGCGAGCTCAATTGGCTGCTGCATACGGACCGTTTAATTTGTACTTGATATTGACATCACGGCGCATCTCGGCCGAAGTCGGTGACTTTCCATCAGCCTTTGCGCAACCCAGATAATTCAGCCAATGAGCGAATTCTATACGCATCTAGTTGCGCACTCTCTCCTCCTGGGGTGCTGTCTGATATTATGCTCTCGCCATTGTACAATTGAACTGAACAGACACAGCTTGCGCTTATGTGTTGTCAAATATCCTACAGCGACTCGATTATCCCGACTCGTATTATTTCAAGTAGTTCTCTCTTTGGCATAGAGTCAACGAGCTATGCGGAACAACCCATTCTTTGCCTGAACTTAGTTTTTCGTTATGAGTACCTCCATTGGGTGACTTATCATGGTCTCCAATGTTTGTGATATGTCCCCTAATAGGCCTGGATGTCTTCCGTCGCCAGAATGCAGACAGTTCCAGTTTAAAGCAGGCTGACAACTCTTTGATAAAATGGTTGTTAAATCCATTGCTGCTCAAAACTTCATGACTTCGGCCTTGAGTTCTCTGGACCTGTGCCGGCTTGGGGGTTTGTTTGGTTCGGAGTCTGTAAATCGGAGGTATTCGGTTCGCTTGATGAGACGGGCTTGGGTAGTTCGAACTGTTTTTGGTCCCGCAGTCTTGCTTGTCTTTCGAGCTCAGGCTTCAATGTGTAGTTAGCTGCTATAGTCAGCGACTTTCGAGTTGGGCCAGGAGTATTTCCTCTGATATCAAATGGTTGGGAGTGGTGCGTACTGATGGAGATGCCTGCCACTACAGCCACGACGATGGGTATAACGTTTCTGAAGCTCATCGTGGAGGTCTTAAATGGCCTGGAATAGTCGAGTTATGGAGCGAATCCTTCAGGCACGATTATCATGCCACGATAGGGAGCTCAATCTTGCAATTGACAATAAGGTAGGCGGCGGCTGTGATGTAATCATCGATGATGCACCCGGGATAGCTCAGGTAGCGTGAACCCAGAGGTCGCGGTCGGTCACCCAAAATTCGGTACAGGCCGGGGCCTGTGCGCACACTCAATCGACTAAAGTGGTTTCCCGCCCCCGTGCCATCGCGTGCGACAGCGTGTACCCCACCAGACGCGCTCAGCGACCGCCTGAACGCGTCTGCTTCAACAATCGGATTATTTACACCTCGCCTGGGTACGACTACCTTAGGTAATGAGAGCACTACCGCTTTCCGCATCAAACAAGACGAGCCGAAATTTTGGCCACCCAACCTTTCCTAGAAGCCCTTCACTGCTTCATACTTTACGATGTGTACTTCTTTATGATGAACGCTTTATGTCATGGCAAACTGGAAAGAACTGGGCGAGGTCCCAGACTCGGACGACGAACTCGACTTCGATAGCCAGGATCTTGAGTCGCTGCCGAACCCTGAACTACCTTTGAAACCCACTTCCGATACTTTACAAACGAAGGACGTCCGAAAGAGCATATGGGATGTACCCGAATCATCACAGGATACCCCAGAAGACGCGACTACAGATCGTGTAGCAACGAACCGCCACCATGAGGCGTCTAAGCCTATTGACGGAGAGCCGCCCTCTTCGCCGCTGTCTTCGGTGCCGGATGTGGATGAGCTGGACGACCCCTTCAGCTTGGACTTAGACGAACCAGCAGCCCAAGTGGCACCTACGACAAAGACGAGGACTAGGTATCTTCCCAACGACCGCGACGACTCTCCCGATCCCCTGGCTGGCGATGATACCGTCTCGACGAGCTATGTTAGAATCACTGCTCCTGAACCTGAGTTCCCCGCCGAGAACGATACCGAAAGCCTTCCACCTCCTAAAAAGTCTCTGGCGGCCTCTTCACAGCCCAGTCAACAGAGCCGGCAGAGACGATTGGCTGCTCAGCTCTCTGCTAGTTCTAGCCCGGAGGCAGAGGTGGCAGCTCCAGTTGAGCAGTCTAACGATGGCAACACTTCGCCTCCGAGGCCTTTATTCGTCTCCTCGGCAGCCTCTTCTGTTGCTTCTCCGGCGCCGACCCAGTTGAGGAAGCAGCCGAGGCCGGCAGCTATTCAGCAGGTGGAAAGCTCCAACAGGGACGAGGAGGTTGCTCGACAAGTCGCTGTGCGGTATGAACGCTCGTTCAGACCAAGGAAACCCATCCAGGAACACCCATACCTCATTGAGAATGCCCAGTACAGCAAGGCTCTTAAGTCACACGGCATCCGGCCGATCAGAATGCCCACAGAGCCAGCCCCGAGACGTCAACGGCCGGAGGAGGATTCCCAGGAGAAGGATTTTGAAGATGATAGCCAAGAACCCACAGCTGATGCGCCAAACGGAACCACAGACGAGAGCCAGTTCAACGGCCTGGATATCCTGCTGAGCTCTAGTCCTCAACTGATGTCGTCCCTCTCCGATTCACCCCTCCGAACATCGTCCCCCAAACACCGCGGCGGACCGAGTAGCCAACCAAGTCAGGGAGATACGGATAATACCAGCTTCTCCGATGTCGACGATTTGCCATCTCTTGACAAGATTCACCGCGACTTGCTGGCAAACCGATCTGCCAAAAAGCGAAAGCGCGGGAAAGGCACTGCGACCAAGGCTGTGGTGACGCAGACGGCAGCCCCAAATGCGCCCTCGCGCCCGCAGTTTCAGCAGTATGATGAGATTTACGGCATGCTTTCTTCGCCGTCTTCATCGCCTGAAGTACAAACTACTGTGATCAACCATTTGATTGACCCTACATCATTGCCTGCAGAGAGCAACGCCGGAACGGTATTTTCTGAGGGCGATGACCTGCCTATCGTGGATGGCAACATGTTGTCTGCTCCTGAGCTCCAGGGGCGAATTTCGGTCGAAAGGGAACCGCCAGTCTTCGACCTGACCGTGGCAGACATGTCCGATGTGGAAGAAGACAATGGACCCGGAGATGTTGATGCGCAGAACAGTTCAGGAGAGGAGTCGGAGGGTCGGGATGATGGTCGCGAGGAGGTCGGCGCGGCGATTGCAAAGAGAATGCGAGGTGTCCTTCCGGCATCCTGGCTTAGGCTCGACCAACAGGCAAACCGTCCCAAGCCTACTCAGTACCAACGCCCCGATGACTCCCCTGAGAAGGGTCCAAGACGAGGCGTGGCTGTCCGACGGATAGGTCGCTCGGCATCATCTACGGCAGCAGCGTTTCTCTTCGATGACTCAGATGACGATGTGGTCACTACGCAGACGCCTACACGTCCTTCTCACAATATCCAGACTGTGTTGCCTTTCGAGAGATCTGAGGTCACGGAAATCAGTGACGACGACGACGGTGGCTCCGTCGTTGAAGAAGACCAGGTTGACCATATGCTACCAAGCAGAAAACGTCAATTGACTTTGAAAGACTTTCGACAACCCGCCAAAAGGCAGAAAAAGAACGACCGTCTATCAAGCACCCAACCCAAGAAACGCGGGCGACCGCCGAAAAGCGCAGTCCGAACTTCTGGAGCTTCCCGCCTCGATCCTTTCTCTAAAAGTCGCAAATCTACTTTGAGCAACACTCGAGCTGTGGCCCGAGCGAAACCTCCAAGGTTGAGCATTCTGGATGTCATCGAATCAGATGCGCCGAAGTTTCTGAAGATTGCGGCTCGAGCAGCTCATAGCAAGCGGCACATGGGACGATCCAGTCCTACACACAAGAGCATACGCCTAGCCACGCGGAAGGACAATGTAGATGCCGGCAGAGTGCTCCAACAGTGGAAAGGAGGCAAGATTCGACCTCGATCTGGATTGCAGACGAAGAAACCTAGGCCCACAGGGTCAAGTGGAAGACACCCACTGACTCAACTACCATCAAATGTCTTCTCTCGTGGTGCTGTATCCTCTCCAAAAGCCCGCAGCGCCACGCAGTCTGATGAACTCCGTCGTGAGACCTCAACGCCTTTGACGCCTTTGCCGGAGGCGCACTCTCGGATAAGGCAAATGTCGAGAAGTAATTCCGTCACAAGCCAGCAGACGCAAGATGCCCGAAATAGGCCGGCTCAGCTTGAAACGGATTTGACCCAGCAACCGGGTAGAGTCGGTTTCCAAGCAAAGAAGCGAGCTCTCGATGCTCTTTTCAAGCGTAATCACTCGCAGTCGCTGTCATCGAGAAGTGCGCACTTGGATTCTTTCTTAGATGACACATCATCAGTAGTATCAGGGCACAGCCTTGCTGCTGGAGGCTCTTCTGAGCCTGCAGCAGTCAAGAGGCCCATACTGAAGCGCCCGAGAAAGCCTGTACAGCCAATTCAGATCGATGTAACGGCCGCCCATTTCCGCCACGCAGATGACCCCATGCCTACCATAGAGTTGATAACTCCCGTCGAAACGCCCAAAGCCGCGTTCAACGATAATCAGCTTCTTGGTCTTGGTCCTTTTGGCACACACTATACACAGCACTTTGATATTTTCCCCCTGGACCGCGGGGTCTTCTTTCACGAGACAACACTCATAGGCAGTGGACGGGTCAGCTCAATAGCGTATGACCAGTTTCCCGAGGAGGTGTGGAATTATCGACCCCGAATTTCTTACAGCCTTGGTGAAATGGTCCTTCGATGGGACTCATGGACCGAGCAAGTCTCGTCCGAGTTCGGCATCGTGATGGACGGGATCCTCGAGCAAATTCTCAAGCCATCGCTGTCTGCAGAAGTCACACCCAATGCCAAAGCAGCGGCAAGATTTGTTCTGGACTACGTCCAAAAAGCGATGAGCTTCACCAACGATGCCGATGCTGCCTCATTCATCGCTCGGGTGTCTGATGTAGTCAAGTCTTTCTTGACGCGCTTCGAATCTGAAGATGTCAGTGACTTGGCTCAACGTCGGGAACTGGCTGACGTGTTGTCGAATGTATTCCTCGTTGTCTCTTACGCCGTCCGCCTCTGTCAAAAAAGTCCGGCGCTGATGACAGAGAACTTTGCTATGGAGGCGCTTCTCAGAAAAACTACAGAAACACTGGTCCGATCGCTACTCGGCATTGGCCTGGATGACGTTACGCAACTCTACGATGATCTTCAGACCTTAATATACCGCGAGCGTGGCATTCGCTCCGACAAGTTCGTAGCACACGCTTGGGTAGTTCTCATAAAGGCCCTAGAATATCTTCGGATTCCTAGGATGACATTCTGGGACGTTACATACTCGTGCATGATACAACCAAGTGTCATTCGTGGCATGGACTCCCAAGAGTTTGAGAATCTTTGGAAGAAGATGTTCACGCTCCTACCCTTGTGCGAATTTGACGATAATGGCGTGGTCGTTTCCGATAGGAGACACCTGGTTCCCCTGGAAGGGTGGAACTTGCCCCAGCAAGTCCTCAAACGCGTCTTCCAACTATACCGCGACAATCCCCGCCAGTCTCCAAGCTTCAACGACTACTGCCGGGCACTAGTGTCCAGATGCCACTATCTGGTCGATCAATGGGGTTGGCAGAAAAGCAGCGGTATCATCGGCACCATCTTCGACTTCTTTGGCTCGCAGAACTTATCTCATCTGCGCAACGAAGAAGCCTTCCGCTCAGCTCGTTTCCTAGACAGCCTTCATCTTGAGCCGTCTCTCCTTGTCGAGCCTGAGGATAGGTGTTTCCACATATTCCTCAAACTCGTGGCACTAGCCATCAAGAGGCTGAGACAAAATGGGGCAATCAACGACATTCGGAATTTGGTCGCTCGCACACTGCCAAACCACGACCGGCAATATTCTAAAGAACAAGACGTTCACCAGAATGACTTAGCCGCTCTCAGGAACCATCATGATCTCTTATGTACTCTGTTCTGGGCAGCGCCACCTGATCTTCGTCCCGGCATCCACAATCTGGAGAAATTGGTCATTCCCGCTAGCTCTCATAAGGAAGCCTGTCTTATTAACCTGCGGGCCTGGAATCAACTGGCAAGATTTGTTGTACACGAAGAGTCCGCCGCATCATTCAACCCGCTGGCTAGCTGGCAGGCCAATGTCTTCAAGCAGCTGTTGGACCAGTACAACTCTGCCGCAGCAGATATCCAACAGCAGTTCTTAGCACTGTCTAAGGATGATAGCAATAATGTCAGCGAGGACCTGATGAACTCCATTGTGGCTACAAACAAAGCTGCAACCATGGAGATCATGCTGTTCTCAGTCAAGTCCTCAATGGAGGTTGTGCAGTATGCGAGTAGTTTGGAGTTGGCAAGGCTTGCCTCTAGCCCTTGTAAGATAACTTGCCAGACGTTCAGCGTACTTGAACTAACAACATTCGCAGATCAATTACAGCAAGTCTTCCAGCATTTCTCTACTTTGCCAGCAGACTTCCCGTCCACGCTTCTCCAAGCCTCTATGACCACACTGGAACGTCTTCTTGGCCGAATCGAGTCGGTCTTCAACGAAGCAGATGATAGTCAAGACAGTATGGCCTCTCGGACTTTGGAGTCCGAGGATGCTATTCTGGTAAGTCATGCTCATACTATTTCTTCGTTTACGTGTCTGACACCTTTCTAGATGCTGGACCGCGAATTGGCTGCTGCGTTCCTTTCAGCAGCACGCTGTCTCTTGTCAAATCAATCGCGCGGTAAACCTGGCAATTCAGGCGTGTCAACATCCTGTGTTGAGCAATCCGTCGTGGTATCTGGCATGATGATTGGTCTTTTCGTACGCTGCGGAATGATGGTGAGTTGGTCTGAGTTGATTCAAAGAGCCAATCGATCGCTTACTATTCCTAGGCACTCTCGCAGGTTTTTAAACCTACTAAATATGGGCTATTCGGGAAAGCGCCAAGCAAGCTTGACTGCGAACAACGTCAATACCTTCCACTCTTCCTTTCCGTTGTCGCGCAGAAGGGAGCAACCATTAACCTGGAGGTAAGAAACGCGACTGGCGCGTGATCCATGAATACAACTAACATGACACAGGATATTGGAGGAAGCGTTTTGCTGTTGTGGCTCATGGTCATCATACAGCCGAGTCACTGCTTGAGATTTGAGAACCGGTTTGGACAGCAGCTCCAGCGGCAGGGCTATCCTTTCATTCCGGACAAAGCAGGTCTTGTCGTCAACCCAGGCTACGCGGCCAACCGTGACTTTTTTGAGTGTGAGTATTTGCGCAAGTTGACTTCGTGGCACGGATGACTGACTATGCTCAGACGCGGCATCTTGGATGCGGAAATCTTTACACACAGCCGACGCTGCCTCCAAGAAGAACATGCGGTCGGAGTTCGAGAGAGTGCTTAATGCCGTCATGAACCAAATGCGGGCTGACCTTCAAATCATGACCGCAGACGAATTACAACACCCAAGCTATGTCAAGTTCGTCCGCAACATCATTTCCCTCATCAAGGCTCATGGTTCAGACATCTGTCCCGTACAAAAGTTCTTTTTGGAAGTGAGCAAGGAGTATTCGCCACCGATGCAGGACCCGCAATTACAAGCAGCGTTGATCCAGTCATACGGATTCAAGCTTGCGGAAGGCGACCCCAGAGTCCCTAGTACGTTATTCCACTTCTTGCTCAATAACTTCAAGGGGGCTCTTCAGCGTGGCCGACTGCCGCATGAGGTTGTCCTCCTAAAAGGGGCTTTGGAAAATGATGCCATCATGTCGTTCGTTCTCAGCAAGATGCTTCCCGCGGTGCTGCATGCCACCCTATCTAATGTCGAGGCCTACGCGATGCTCGATGTTTTATGCGACGCGCTTGGACTGGCAATAAAATCGTCACCTATTCCTCGTCAAGTCAGCGAAGACAATATGGGGTGCATTGCTGCCTTGGTCACCACCACATTGGCTTGGGCAAACGCCCTAGGACGGAGCATGCTTAGTCCTGAGCATGTTCATGTGCTCCGACGCATCACTTGGCTCCTCAACGCATTTCAGCCTTACCTTGAAGCGTTCTCATTCATGGTTACAGAACCTCGAGGCTGGGACAACGTTATGTCGATGTTACATTGGTTCAGCCTGCTTGCCCAAGGGGCGCAAGAGTATCTTGAAAACCAAGAAACCCCTTTCATAGCCGCATCGGGGCTGTTTCGCCGACTTAGAACTCTCAATGAGATCTTCACGATCCAGGACACCACGGTTCTGACCTGGTCAGAGCATATAGGAAACGACATCAGTAGGAATTGGGTCACGACAGGACCATTGTTAACGGTATCACCACACAACCGTGGCACACCTTCAACGCAGTCTGGGATTGGATCACTACGGCCTAAGTGGGACATGCAAGAATTGACGACGAGTCTGCTAGATCAAATGCGGAACTGGCATGAGTGGTGGACGAGGGTGAAGGAGTTGCCAGCTGATACTGAGGAAGTAGATTTCGGGGAGGACGTCATATTCTGAGAAAGGTATCTGTCGTAGAGCAGTGTCCAATCCCTACCCCCAGAAACAAGTACATACCATTCATGCCCACAACTATCTACCAAGGATTCAAACAATAATCTTCATCGCCGTATCTTTAATTTCATTGAATTACCTACGCTGAGTCATCTACGGCTGGGTCCAGGATCCATCGTGAATGATCTTATTACGATTTACATACTTCGGTGTGGGACTTTCGGTGAGCGTCGGTGAAGACTCTGCCGAGATTCCGCCGTTCTCACTAAGCATGGTACCGGCTTCAACAGCTCGAAAGCAAACAAGGTCTCTTTTGCCACGCAACGACACCGCCAATTGCTGGCATTTTGCTCATTGTCCTTCCGAATGTATGCAATAGGGCCTCGGGCCCTTGCATCAGCCTCACGAGTCTCCGTTACATCGAGGTTAGCGCTTTCGGTCGCTCATCGCAGCCAGTGTCGACATTTCCACCCGTCCTTTAGGTTGCGGAAGAACCCGTCCGAAGGCGGCGCAGAAGACGGCAAACCACCAGACAAACCGGCCGGCGAGCAAGAGGACGGCAGTAGAAGCAAAGATGGCAGCATAAGCAAGACTGAGTCGGTCACGGCGGAGTCGGCTTTTCGGAGGTCGAGAGGCGGCGCGTTCGCCTCTGCGAGAGCGCGCCTCTCAAGGCCGCGGGCCGCTGACGAGCTGCCACCGGTGAAGCTGCCGCAGAGCTTCCTCGACAACAGCGTGTCGCTGTACGATCCCGAAAACCGCATCAACACCCTCACGAACGACCTGTGGCACCATCGATACATGGGCGCCCGCTGGCACGATCTGCTCTGGAAAGATTTGGATCTCGTCTTCAGCCATGCGTCTTGGAGCGAAGCGAAGTTGCAAGATGCGCTGCGCCGGGGCAATCTCGAAGCCATTGAGAGGAGGAGCCGCCTCCTTGCTGAGGCATCGCAGTGGCTGAGTCTCTCCATTGACGAGATGCGATCTTCGAACAACCTGCAGAACTCCCGCGAGCCGCTGCCGACCACCGAATTCGCAGACATGCTTCGATACTCCAACAAATTCGTCCTTTCGAACCTTTTGTCGCAACACACCAGAGCAACGACGGACGCCGATCCAACACAAGATCCAGACAGCGTACTGCAATCGCTTGTCGAGCAATACATCGAAGAGGGACGGCCGAAGCTGCGACGTGACGGACTGAGGTTATTCGACCCCCGAATCCGCGGCGAAGTCGTCACGGCTGTGTGCGCGGAGCTTTCTCTGCAGCCGGACGCAAGTGCCGCAGGCAGGGAGCTCAAGAGACCGCTTACTGTCGTCAACATCCCGAACTATACCGGCCGAAGCCATACCAAGAAGCTCATGAAGCACGTTGCGTCATGCGCGGAAGCCGATTTGATTCACCTCGATGCGCAGGAGCTGGCGATGCTTGTCGGCGACTACATCGGGCAGGACTGTGCCTACTCGCGCGGCTCGATCTCTATGCTGGGATATCGGTCTGCCGAGATGAATGGACGTCTCGTCAAGAGCGAGGAGCCGTCCAAGCCCAACGACGAGGATCTTTCCGGCGAGATCGAAGCGGCATGGGTCAACCTTCGAGATCACGGGGTGGATGGCGGCTACGGCAACCCAATGGACAACGAACTGCAAAAGATCAAAGAAGGCCCCAAGGACTACATCCTTCCTTCTGTCGATCGATGGGAAAACCTGAAGATCAACGCCGTTCTCGAGGAGATTGCCAACTCGGCTACGAAGATGACGTCGAAGCCGGATCGCAACCTGATCATTCACGTGGACGACTTCGTCGAGCTCAACATGACGCTCGAGGGTGCGCTGCTCATCGGTCGACTTCGGACCATCGTAGACACCATGTGGCGCGCTGGAAAGAGAGTGACCCTGGTGGGCACCTCATCCAACGAGAACCCTTCGGAGCAGTACGCATCGACGCTCAAGGAGATTGCGGCAGAGGAGTGTTTGATCCCTTTGCCCCTGAACTTCCAGCGGATCACCGACGCTGCAAACACCAAGAAGATTTACGAGGCCAATGACTTCTTGCAAGAGAACCTGCGAAACATCCAGCATATGCTGAAGAGCATTTCTGGCCAAACGCGAGACACGAGTAAACTGCGCATCGTCGGCGTGTCAAAGTCCTCGCCGCCGCAGTTCCTCTTGGATGACACACATGGCTCTTATATGGAGGTCTCGCTCATCCCCCGCGTTCTGGCAACCTCCATCCTCCCCCTTTCCGACGTATACCACATAACCCGCCTCTTCTACGCCTGCGAGGGCACCGTCCGCCCCGACGAGTCATGGAGGGTTCTCTTCGACGTCGTCGAGTCCAGCAGCTACAGCACCGCGCAGCTGCACCGCACCCAGGACCGGCCGACGCGCTCCAAACCTTCCTCTGCCGGCGCGAGCTCGTCTGCCGACATGCAGAAGCCCGAACCCGAACGCCTCCGCGTGTCCGGCAACTACAACGACTACGAGAAGAAGCTCCTCAGCGGTCTCGTCAACAGCAGCGAGATCAAGACGACGTTTGCCGACGTCCACGCCGACGCGGAGACCAAGAACAACCTCAAGCTCCTGACCTCGCTGTCGCTCGTCCGCCCTGAAGCCTTCACATACGGCGTCCTCGCCACCGACAGGATACCGGGCTGCCTCCTCTACGGCCCGCCCGGCACCGGCAAGACGCTCCTAGCCAAGGCCGTCGCCAAGGAGAGCGGCGCCAACATGCTCGAGGTCAGCGGCGCCAGCATCAACGACATGTACGTCGGCCAGAGCGAGAAGAACGTGCGCGCCCTCTTCTCGCTCGCCAAGAAGCTGAGCCCGCTCGTCATCTTCATCGACGAGGCCGACGCCCTGCTCGCCGCCCGCGGGCAACGGAACCGCGCAGCGCACCGTGAGACCATCAACCAGTTCCTGCGCGAGTGGGACGGCATGAGCGACACCAAAGCCTTCATCATGGTCGCCACCAACCGGCCCTTTGACCTCGACGACGCCGTGCTCCGCCGGCTGCCGCGCAAGATCCTCGTCGACCTGCCCCTCAAGGCCGACCGCGCCTCTATCCTCCGCATCCTCCTCAAGGGCGAGACGCTCGACGCCTCGGTCGACGTCGACGACGTCGCGCGGAAGACGGTGCTCTACTCCGGCTCCGACCTCAAGAACCTCTGCGTCGCGGCCGCCATGACGGCCGTCCAGGAGGAGAGCGAGGTGGCGGCGCGGCACACCGGCCCGGAACCCTACGTGTTCCCTCCCAAACGCACGCTTGCGAAACATCATTTTGATAAAGCGCTCAAAATGATCGCCGCCAGCGTCAGCGAGGACATGGACAGCTTGAAGAGCATCCGTCGCTTCGACGAGAAGTACGGCGATGTCCGGGCCAAGAATAGCCAGAAGAGGAAGGGTATGGGCTTCGGTGTGCTGCCGACATCGACGGATGCTGAGGAGGCTAGGGTGCGGCAGGCTGTTGCTTGAACAACGCTGGGTTCGAGTTTTGACTGTTATTCTCTGTTCGTCTTCTTTGTAATGTCATTCTGGCTTCGCTGAAAGCAAATCTCCCACCCTTGACTTGGAACCATCATCAGAGAAATGGATGGGATGGGGGTGGTCTTTCAGGCGAATTTGTACGATTTTTGTTGTGTGGTGGGAAAGAGTTTCCTTTGAGGACATCCCCATCGTGGGCTATAGAAAGGGGGGAAAGGAAGTGAGTGGTGAATCATGTATTATCATTGAGAGGACACACGCCATCTACGATCAGGTAGTCAGGTAGCATCCCAAAGACTTGCTGAGTAAAAAATAATGGACTAGCGAGAGATGGGCTATGAATTACCACCCTCACGAGATGGGGTTTTGATAAAAAAATTAGCTGAGTTGGCCCTCCCTTCTTAGTGATTTACGAGACAGCATACAGTGTGATTCGACACGACTTTTGTGCCCAATGAACATTTAGTAAGAAGCGTGTATGGCTCGGTGTGGTTTGCTTATTCCTGAATAAAGCTCCTGGTGGTTTCGCATTTTGATGTCTCTTATACAACCCGACCCCGATTCTCTCTCCGTCCCAGACTCTTCTCATCTCAAGTGCTATCTTCAGGCCTCGGTGGAAAGCTGAACCCCCTCAGCAGCAAGAGCCCGCTGATAATCCCCCTGCGCCCTCTTCAACGCCTCGAGCGTGGGCTGCATAATCGCCAACACGGCCTTCCTCCCGCCCTTCTCATGCTCAGGCCGCCATCCGCGAATCTTCTTCCCCGTCGCCTTGTAGTGATCCATAATCTCCTTCTTCTTGGCCCGGATGATGTCGTCGCGCGTCTTCTCCGCCTCATCGGCGACGGCGTGGATACGCTCGGCCGAGCGCTTGAGGGACTCGACGAGGTACTGCAGCTCGTTGGCGCGGTCCGGGTCGCCCGACAGAAACGCGTTCCAGAACTGGTGCAGGAACTCGACCGTCGTGGCGTGCGTCAGCTGGCACCGCTCCGCGACCTCGACGGGCAGGCCCATGGGGCGGGACTCGTCCGCCGCCGTGTCGCCGTACTTTTGCGCGCGACGCTGCCGGATGCCCTTCATGATATCGTCGCCCGCGGCTTTGCGCGCGGCGCGGGAGCCGACGTGGGGCGGGCGCCGCGTTCCTCCGTCGTCGCTGTCGCTGTCGTCGACGATGCCGATGCCCGCGCGGAGGTTGAGGCCGCCGGCGCCGTCCGTCTCAATGGTCTCGAGGTCGGTCTGGATGTCAAATAGGACGTCCGAGGGGTTCTGCTTGGCGAAAGCGAGGGCGTTTGCGGATTTGGCCTCGTCTTTTTTCGCAAAGAAGCGGTTCTGCTCCTTGATGTTGAGTATGATTTTGTTCTCCTTTGCGTCGCCGCGCAGATCGCGGAGGGCAATCTCCGCCCACGTCGAGTCTTCTTCGGCCTCGGCGCCGGTATCGCGATCTGAGGGCGCCACGTTGGCGAGCATACGCTCGCTGAGACTGTTGAGGGTATTTACAATGGGCACGTTCTTGCGCGGCCGCATCTCAACGTCCTTTTGATTCCCGCTCCGGAAGCCGCCCTGGTTCTCCTCGTTGCCGTGGACGTCAATGATGTGCGGCACGCTCTGCGCCATGCTCTTGCGCTGGAACATTGTCGTGTTCTCGCTGGCATCGTGGGCGTCAAACAGCGCGTCGCGTTTGATACCCTCCTTTCTTTCGTCCGTGATCCTATCTCCCTTCAGCGTGCGGAAGAGCTTGCTGAGAAAGAAGCGGGACCAAAACTCGCTCTCGGGGACCTTGGGCACGTTTTCGTCGTAGAGCCGCTTGACGAGCGGGTGCTGCGCCATGATGAGCTGGACCATCTCGACGGTGATGTCGAGCTTGAGCACGTCGTTCTCCAGCCGCGGCTTTATCGCGGGCAGGACATTGTACGCGCCCTTTTGCTGGTTCACCTCGATGGCGTGGGCACGCAGCAAGTTTGTGCGCGTCGACCAGAACTGGGCGTTAAAGGCCGCGTCCGATATCGATTCGGGCTTGGTCGCGCGCGCGTCCATGTACGTCTGGTGTAGAGTGCGGTCCTTCTTCATAAGGGACTGCTGCAGCTCAATGTCACCCTTGAGCTGGGCGTCGTCGAACCAGCGAGCGCTGTTGGGCTTCGCGTTGGCGGAGCTGGCGAACGCCATGGACGAGCCGCCGCCAGCGCCGCCGCCACCACCGCTGGCACCATTTGCGCCGTTGGCCGCGTTCGGGGTTGAGTTGCCGGAGGGTTTGGGGACATTGGGATCGCCGGAGCGGATATCGGCCAACAGCCTCGAGAGCAGGTCCTTGATGGCGTTGGCCTCAGACCTGGCTTCTGGTGATGTGAAGTGGAAGAGGTAGGGCACTTGTTCTGTTGCATCTGGAGGCTTCTCAAAGATTTTGAGCATAACCTTTGCTGCGCTGTCTGGTGTCTGTTGCAAATCTGTGGCCCAAGTCAGTCATGCATAGTACTGTCTCGTGTGACGGAAGCTCACTTGAGATATTAGCAATGACCAAGGAGACCGTAGGCGGGCCATTCCCAGGTGCTGGAGTCCAGATGACGGACTGTTGATCCGGCGTCAAGGTCAAGACACCATCCTTCTTCTTGAAGGCCGTACGACCTGACGGTATCGCCATCTTCAGTTTTATATAATGTGCTTAGAAGCTGCTGCGAAGCATAACGTTGAGACCTTCACTTCGTCACCACCCTGCCAAGCCACCTCAATGTGAACTGCCTCCTTGCCTGGGTCTTTGCAGGGATGAGACCCGATACGTCAGGGGCGGCCCACCAGCCAGATCGACAGTAGATAGTCGCGTACGATTCAGTAATTCTGCAACGGTAAGAATTTATCGCTCCAATGCGGAATTAATGTGGTCGTGTGGAATGAGAATTGTTCAATGTCTTTCACCTGGGGTTGAAGGCTCGAGGTTCAAAGCTCCAGCCACCAGAGCGTATGCTGCCTGAAGTGGCTGTCGGTCGCCAGCTGGCGCTGTCTTGCCAGTTCTTGACGGGCCGGCAGGTGTCATACGTTCGACCTCACCAGACGACAAGCCGGTCACAGTCGTCCTTTTGGCTTTAACCACAGTCACTCCAGGCACACGTTAACTGGCACTGCATCGTCGACAGGTTACGCAGGAGAGCCATGTTTAACAACGATCGTGGTGATTTACTATCAAGCCTACCTGGCATACTTACCTGCCAGGCTTTTCCTTATGCGAGCCAAGAACCAGTCCTGGAAGATCCATGCTATCCTCAAAACGCCAAAATCTCAGAAAGCCAGAGTTTGTTCCCCATGTCTATGGATGCGTGTCCCCGTATCTCGTCCAAGTCTCATAAAATGTCGTGAACCTTTCGACAATACATTCCGAAGGGCAGAAAAGTTGTTACACAAGAGGCCCGCGAGGCTTAGATGTGGTGTCTAGCGCGGAGGGAGCGGCGACCGTGGGCTCTCTTCTTCTGCCAGACCAGGACCTCGGTTGTGCCAGACTGGCATTTGGTGCCAGGAGCCATACTCATGAGCACCGACCACTGTCCAGAGGCACAACGCTGGAAATGAGTGCCGGAGACGCAGTTCCACTGGCCCTCGGGGGTGCAGGCCTTGCCGGGAGTCATGGAGCCGTCTGCTGCATCACCAGATCCGGCGCCAGGCGAGGGAGCTGCGGATGGAGCTGCGGATGGAGCGGCAGAGGGGGCAGCCGAGGGGGCGGCTGAGGGAACGACTGCCGAAGTGGGAGCAGGCATGGCGGTGGGTGCCGCAGATCCTTCGGTGCACTCTTCGCTGGGTGAAGCGGGAATGCTGACGGTCGCAAGTGTGGTCGGTCGGACAGAGGCAACGGCAGAGTTGCTAGAGGCCGGGACAGTGAGGAAGACGCCGCCAGGGCTAATGGGAGTCAGTACAATTACAGTGACATGGGTGAGATTTACTTACAGTCCAGCAGATGAAGAGGCACCTCCAGCAGCGCGAGTAGTCGACTGGGAGCTCGGCTGAGAGACTTGAGAAGCGGCCGGAGCGGACGGGGCAGGAGCGACAGCGTTGGCAGAGCTGCTAGGAGAGCTGCTACTACCACCTCCAGAGCTACCACCACCGACTGCAACGTCGCAGGTGCCGACGGGGGCAGCGGTCTTGGTGCCGGCGTTGGTGACGTCTCCAGGAGGGCCGGGATTGGGGAACAGAACGTCGGATCCCTCGACGGTGCTGCAGCCGTTGGCGATGTTGGCCTTGAAGATCTGAGGACGGCTGGCGAAGGGAGTGGAAGCACTGCCACCTCCTCCGGTGGTGGTGATGACGGCGCAGTTCATGTAGCTGTGGAAGGGGAATTAGCATGGCCACGGTGAGAATCAGAAGGTCAAGATGGACATACAACTCTCTGTTGCCGACGTTGTTGAACCAAGTCCAGGCGAACAGGGCGTCCTTGGCAGAAGGGGTGTCGGCAGGCAAGGTGAAGGTGAGAGACGAAGTGCCTGCGACAGGGCAGTTACCGATGTAGCTGTGGATGACGGTGAAGGTCTTGCCGCTATCGAAGGAGAGGGAAGCCTGGCAACTACCGCCGTTGTGGTTGGCACCGCCGGCGATGGTCATGTTGTACTGCTGGCCGGCCTGCCAAGTAGCGACGGGAGAGGCCGCAGCGGTGCCGAGAAGGTTCAAGGTGCCCTTGCAGGGAAAGTCGCTGCCAGAAGCGCTCAGAGGGCTGGTGATACTGTAGTCGATGTCCTGACCGGCGAAGGGGTTCTCCTTGGATCGCAGGGGCGGCGGGTAGGTGATGGCCATATGAGCCGCGGCGTGGCCGGCAAGCAGCACGATCGCGGAGACGAAGGTGGACTTCATGGTGTCGTCTGGTGTTGGAAGAGATTCGGTCTAGGATGATGGTGGTTTCGAGAGGATGAGAAGGTCTTTTTTTTTAGGTGAGCTTCGCTTCCAGATGTTGTTAACAAAAGCTTGGTTGTGTTGACTGGAAGAAGGATGGATGGGATTTTCTGTAGGTTCAAAGAGTGGATTTGCTCCTCGTTTTGAAATGTGTGTTGGTCTGGTGATTTCTTAGGTCGGGATGGCTGAAGAGTTGTTGTAGGTGAAAGTAGGTGAGGTGAGTCGGTCAAATCAAGGTGAGTGAGACGGGGTGTCTTCACTTGTCTTTATCTGAATGTGGTCTTGAGAGTCGAGCCGGCTCGAGGAAAGAGAAGAAAAAAAAAGTCGGGTGACTTTTACAATGGAGAAAGGCGGTCGAAGGAATGTGTTCAAACGTCCAAACAATGAGGCTGGTCGGGAGTTGAATAATACCGGCGAATACGTAACCGTTGAAGATTTAGAAGTGGCAGGAAAGGAAGGAACGGCAATGAGGCTACGAGTTCTCCACGTGTAAACGGGGACGAAAGTAGGCCAAGTTGGGCTGAGTCTTGTAGCAGTCAAGAGCGTGGATGACGCAACAACACTGGACGAGGTTGAGCAACAGAAAAGAGAAATTTGTAGAGATAGGCGTGAGAAAGGGGAAAAAAGAAGGTTCCCAAGAACTCGGATCGAGCTGCTACGAATGAAGTCAGGTGAAGATGAAATAAGAGGGCTGAAGAAAGTCGGGAGGCCGTCACGGGCTCTTTATTGTCGAACAAACCACACCACTCCGCCGGCGCATCAGTATCTTGGCAAAGGAAAGGGTGCGAACAAGAGGGGGAGAGCCGCTTCGCTTCCAATGCTTGCCAGGATCGAAAGGCCTGCTCTCTCACTCTCTGACTTCTCGTCCAGTTGCAGTCCAGAACCTGGATCCTGATCCATGAAAGTGAGGTAGCCATGCGGCCTGGCTAGCGGTCGCGGGGTGTGCCTCTCTCGCGCCGCAAGTCAACCCCTGCCCTGGGCGCATGCACCCATCTTTTCTTCATCGTCATCCAGCAGGTCTACATCGAGATACCTCGGATGCCCATGTTGGATGCCTCCAGCCAACGAGTATAGCTACTTAGGAAGTGTTGGATATGCCAACATGCAACTCGGATACTAGTGGAAAGCAGAAACCGAAGGGGAACCCTTGAGATATCCCTTCAACGTAGTGTAGGTCCAGCATGGACGGCGTGTGGTTGATATCCTCCCTTTTCGTCTCCCTCTGGATTCTTCCTCGCAATGACCCAAGGTCCTGGCGCAACTCTCGGCTCCTCCGTCCGTCCCCTTCCTTCCTGTCCAACAACGGCTCCATCCTGAAGAAAAACTCGATAAAGAAGAAATCCCCGAGTTGCGCGCCCCAAAGGAGCAGCAGCTGGATTCCTGTTCTGTGCCCCTTGCACCCTTGCTCAACCCGCCTGCTGCCGCCTTGCGGGTCCCTCACGAACCCCCCGGTCTGGTCTCGCGGAAAGCGTTACAACTTCAGAGTCACTCCCTCCCATTTGGCCGAACAGATCGAGGCATGGCAAGGGTAGGGTACCAAGTCACACCGCACCTCATCGCATGTTCTCGGTGCGATGCGGGTATGTCGGCGAAGGGTACCTGTAAGTTGGCCCTCCTCCTCACCGCGGAGCCACTCTTGAGCGACAAGAAGCGCGTTTGTCTCGTCTCTGATGCGCGGATGAAGTGGCCGAGACTGTGGAGAGAGAGTGTGAGCGAGAGAGGTGTGTGGGACGTGGTCCAAAAAAGGTGGGATGAACAGACCCTGGACCGTCCAAAAAGAGACAAAGTGCTGATCCAGGCATGTCATTGGCCCAGGGACGGATGCGCGAATGGCGGACCACAGCGGTAGCTGTAGCTGCGCGGTAAAGATGTGAAGCGCAAGGGCCGCAAATCGAACCTTGGCTGAGCCGCTGTGCCTCTGAGCTGCTTCCATGTTCGCGAAGTACCTACCATCATACTACCATGCCAGCAGATTTGAACCTGGAGGGGGAAGCCACCCAGACCGCGTCCAATCAACCAGCCTGCGTGCCTGACTGTCGCTTCAGTGCTCGGCTCACTGATTGGCGCTGTCCGTTTACGATCTTTACAATCACCTACCTAGGTAGGCGGGCTACCGCCTTGCCAGCTTGCCTTGCCTTCCAGCTCAAGCACAAACACTACAAGACAAGATACATCCCAAGGTGAGCCATGAGAGAATAGGAACAAGACGTCTTTCGGCAACTTGAGCCCGAGATAATCAACGCAGCTGGGTAGTTCTTATGGTCCTTCAATGTCGAACCGCGCAAAAGTGCCCCAGTTACAGTCGTAACCTCACCTTCACCGGTGTCCGGTGATATCTGTGGAGCGCAAAAACCGCCCACGGAAAGCAAAGTCGTCGATCCCCAAAGAAAGGCCCAGGCCGCCCAGGTCCATAAGGCTTCATTCCAGCCAGTGTTCGGTGATGCGCGGTGTGCCTCCCGTGCCTCCCCCGCCCTCAGCGCCTCCTCAGCCATCCCCGGGAACCGACTGTGACGTGACTTGGCAGACTTGGAGAAGAAGAAAAAGTAGAAACTTTTCAAACGTCCAAACTACCCCATGCTCGATCGGGCAAAGGGCCAAAAGGAGGGTGAACAAAAGAAGAAAGCAGGGGGTTCTTGAAACATGCGACACGCGCCGTCAAATGGCATGCATCCTACAACCGCCACGAATGAGAATGGAATGTTTCCTGCCATTCCCTGAGGTACCTTAGGTACCTCAATCCTCATACAGCCGCCAGTCGAAAATGCATACCTCCCGCACATGCTAAGTTCTAACAATGGATCCTGCACTGCATCAAGAGGCGCCGTAGGTTGTCACCCTTTCTAAAAATCTCCCCACGATGATACCTCAAGCTCTTTAATTATCCACCCTCAACCTCACGACTACATTCAATCCCCCCATCATCAATCAAACAGCCCAGCCAAGTATGACTAGACCCTTCTCACGTCATTTCATTCTCCATCTCTCCCCGTTCTGTCCAGGAATAATGGTCTTTCAAAATCTAGGAACAAACGTGAACTGCTAGCCCTGTTACCCATGATCAAGGTTTCATCCCGACCTCACATTTTCATGTTCCAATTCCACAACTGCTCTTCTTACCTGCTAAAGTAGTTGTGTCATGGTGCCGAATATGCCGTCCCCGAGATATTCTAACAAGACTAGGGTTTTCTGGTCTTCTTCTCCCTTTTCTCATGGCCACTCGTGCATCTCTGCTTTGTTTGTCCTTGATCCAAAAGCATTACACAACACTGCAAAGACGGGCATGATTGACTGCCAGAGAAACCCCCAGAACTCATCTTGTCCAATCGGATGCAATTCACTTTGACCTTTTGAAGTAATGTTTTGTCATTTGGAGCCACCTATTGATAGATGGCTTTTTGGCCTACACTGTTCAACTCCTATGCTTTTCTTTCTCGTCACTAGCTCTACCTAGCTACCGCGACACACCCGGCCTTCACATGTGCGTTTGGATCATGACTGACGTCCTCACATCCCCCTTGATCCTCTGCCGTGATCCGCTTGTGAGGCATGACAGTCCCGCTCCTTCAGGCATCATCGCAGTAGACCCCTGCGTCATCTGAACCCTTTGGACTGTCTTCTCCAACCACAAGCTGACCTATACGTGACTTTCCAGTCCAGCAAACGCACTACATACAGCAAGTCCGACCCTGTCCTCCAGCTCGGTGACTGACTTCCCCCGAATGCTGGCCCCCTCGGAGATATTTCCCCGACAGCCGCTCCAGAGGTTTCCATGGACTGCTTTATGTATTTGCTGGCACATCCAAGTTGGCAGCATCCATCCCAAGCTTCGCGGATCAAGTGGTTATTCATCAACGCTAAAGGGGCCTAGATACTGAGATGTGTTGGAATAATTCTCCATGGCGTTATCGGTATGCCTCGGTGGTTTCGTCGAGCTCTCATTTGGTTTCTTCGGTAGCTCCAGGAGCGTGTCCAGGACCGTTCGCAGGTGCTGAGGGAACTTGTTGAGGGCCCTGGTGCTGCCCATGGTTGTTGTACGGCTTGCCTCCATAATTGTTGCTTCCACTGCGGTGCTGCGCACCGTATTGATGCATCTGAGAGGGACTCGTTCCAAAGTGTTGAGGTCCGGGACTATTGTACCCACGCACATTGCCAACTAAGCCGACGTGTTAGCAGTTTATTGATAGCGACCGCCGGGTACCATCTTACCCTGACCGCCGGGTTGCTGCGGAGTGTACGCAGGCTGCTGGTACTGCACGTTGGGGCTCATGCCATATACCGGTTGACCTTGCTGCGAGCCTTGATGAACCATCATCGGCGCTGACGGGCGTCCTGGACTAGGATAGCCGTTGGCTCCCGGAATCGGCTGAGGCGGCGCGCCATTCGGAGGCATGAACTGGTGGTTGCCAGCATACATTGGCATTTGGCCGGGTGCCGGCACCATGCCCTGGGGGTTGATGAATTGAGGCATCATAGGTGCTCCCATGGGACCACCAGGCTGCTGCGGCACGTATTGATGGTTTTGGGAGAAGTTCCGGTAACCACCCATCTGAGGTGTAGCCGGTCCACCGTAGGGCTGCATCATAGGCTGATTGTAGGGCACCTGACCCGCCGAGGTCATCGCTGGCGTGTTGTAAGTGATGGGGACCTGTGCCATACGCGGCGAAGCGAAGGACTGGGCCGAGTTGGAGTGCATCATCCGATGGTCATCCATATTCTGGTACGGTGTATGGGGTACATGTCCATGTTGATTTTGTATAGGCATGGGTGGCATGTGTGGTGACTGACGCGGGCCCATACCGTGCGCAGGTTGCTGCAGATGAAAGGGAAGTTGATGCTGGTGAGCCACGTTGGGCACAACGTGAGTGTGGTTCGGTGTGGCAATTGACGACACAGCAAATGACTGCCGCTCCAAGAACTCCTTGGAAGTCATGAGCATCGTGGAATCCGACTTCTCGTTGTCCGAAGGTTGTCTCCAGGTAGGCGGGGTGTCGTATGAGGGTCTCAGACCGTCGTTGTCGTCCCAGTTCCGACCCTGAGGCGGCGTGAATGTCTTGACGTGTGCCAAGATGTAACACTTCTTCACATCAACTGCCTTCGTCTTCCGACGAATTAACTGTCCAGCTGATGCCGGGGTCGAAGCTGTCTCTGGGGCGTTGTTGGCAGCAGCAGAGCGAGGACTGGAACCCGCGCTGGGGTGTCCGTTCGGGTTGAAGGACGTCGCAAAGGGGTTCGGTCTGAACTCATGGCTGTTGGGGTTTAACTTCCCGCCAAGGTGACTCGGGACACCGCCTGCACGCCGGAAAGCCTCAGTGTTGTTCGCTGGGCCGGTTGGCGGCATCCGCATGTCAGGGCCACCAGGGTGCTGGTTGGGAGGCGCCGACATCTTCTGCTGCTCCACGTGGCGCAGGCGCTGAGCCAAGGGCTGGCGGTTCTGTTGCGCCATGTGTTGGCCAGATCTATCGTTCCTAAACGTTTGGGCGTGATACTGGGGGCTGGCGTAAGACTGGCGAGCGTTGGGATGACGGTTCGGCACATTGGAGGGAGAAATAGTATTAGCTGGCGCCGGACGAGTAGCATTCCTTGTCTCAACGGCGGCTTGAGCAGCCGGGGCATCAGCAGGCGGCTTTGCTGCACCCTCCTTTGATGAAGCGTCCTTGCCCTTCAGAGTAGGTGTCGTCTTGGTACGAGCAACATCTTCCGCGTTCTGGAGAGCCTTTGCCTGGATTTCCTTCTGTTTATCGGGGTCCTTGGCGATGATAGAAATCAGGTCAGTAGGAACTGGAGTCGACAGCTTGAAGGTATCGGCGAATTTCTTCAGTTCAGTCAACTTGACTTCCTTGTCGGCCTTAGCCTTGCTGCTCCGAACTTTTTCAGCATTTTGACGCTGCTGGCTGGCAAACGTTCTGAACGACTTCAAGACGTCGGCTTCGACCGTCGCAGTAGCACTGGGAGCTCCTGGAGTGCCTTCTTTGACCTGAGGAGAGATCGTTCGGCTTGTAGCTGCAGAGGGACGAGCTTGGGTAGCCGACTTCTCAGCAGCCTTGGCGTCGCCGGGCTTTGCGGCGACGGTCTGCTTCGTCTCTGCAGGCTTCGTCTCGGCCGGCTTGGTCGGCTCCTGCTTCGGGGCAGTCTTTGTAGCGGGGGCAGCAGGCTTGGGATCAGCGGCTTTCAGCGCCTCAGCACCTTGGGTAGCACTGCCCTTGTTGACGAGCTGGCTCAAAAGCTTGGCATCTTCGGGCTTCACTGTGGTCTGCTTCTTTGCGGGGGCTCTCAGTTGCGACGAGATGATCGCGGGGTCAATCGGGGCGCCAACGACAGTCGCATTCGAAGCGGGTGCTCGCTTGGCAGGAGGCGTGTACTTGTTTTCGCGGCTCGACAGAGGAGGGAAGTCCTGACGGCGGACTCCGCTGTATCTGAAAATGGGTGTTAGCTTTGGCTGCTTCAAGAAGAAGACATCAAGCAGAGAGCCTTACTTGTCTTCCTCATCCCCGCCCTTGTCGTCACCACCGCCAGTGACATAATCCATGACACGCTCCTCCGCAACGTGCGCCGTGGTGGCCAAGCTTCGCTCGATCTCGCGAGCCTTGCGCTCGGCAGCAGCCATGCGATCACGGTACTGCGGGTGGCTTTTGTCAATGGTGGTTGTGTAGATGTTCTCATCGTAGTCGGTCTTAAGGCCGAAGAGCCGCTCATTCTCGGCAAATTGGTCCCAAGCTCCTCCACTGCCAGATGGCTTCTCCAAGCTGCCATCGATGCCATCATTGGAGTCGGGGACCCATGGCTGGAGGGTTCGCTCGGTGCCGGGTCTGTTGTTGGAAATAGCGGTATCGGTTCTGAACCCAGATCGAGCGCCTGCGGTACAATTAGCCTTATGTTTTTTGCAGTGGCCAGGGTTAAGAAATAGGCATGCCGTTTTGGCCCTTGCCGTCAGCC